CGGTTACAACACAATGCTCCACAAAGGAGAGAGAGAGATAGAGAGAGAGAGAGACAGAGCAAGAGAGAACCAACTAGCACACACAGGAGCCAGAGACCTCCCCCCAGTCAGAGCCGTCTCAGACATAGAGAGAGAGACAAAACATCCCCCCCCCCACCAAAAGAGAAGCAAAAGCTTTGCCGCTCGCTCACGGGCGCGGGCACAGGCACGGGACGTAGGGGAGGGGCGGGTCAGGGGGCCAGTCGGGGCCAGCCCTGCAGAGACAGGAGGACAGAGATGGGCAGGGCCCAGCAGAGGACAGACATGCAGCTGCGGCTGCTGCTGTGGAGGCCAGGCTGGGAACTATAGAGGGAGGTTTTACGTGAGGAGATCTTCGGGTAGTTGGGGTTGGGCCGAGACAGCCACTGGATCAGGATGTTGCCGTTCTTGTTGAGGTCGGATGAGCCCTCTGCAGAGAAATAAGGAGAGACAGTGATGAGTGTCTCCTTTGTTAAAGCACTTGTCAACTAATTCTGTCATGTCTTACTCTCCTTCCTTCTATAGTTGTAAGCCTGAAATCCTGTTATTCCACATTTCTTCTTCGTGTCTTTTCATCATCTTGCTTGAACTATTAGCTACACTGTCCCCTGACTGATTTCCTGTGATACTGCTCAGTTTTGTCCGTATCATATAAAAAGAGAATACATATGAACATAAGAGTCTGTCCATTTCCTTGTCTTACGTTGAGCACAAATTAACCTTAAGATGAACCTTTCTGTGTAATTAAATGAATTGAGTGTCGACTTCTACATAGTACAGATTGCTCTGGCAGGTTTTGTATGGGTGGAGGTCTCTCTGAACTCACTGGGACACGGATCCAAGCGGCAGACTCTGACGGTGTCCAGGCACAGGCCGATGTTGTTGTCCCTGGTGTGGCACAGAGCCTGTCTCTGCTGGGTCCCGTTGCCACATGTCACTGAGCACTGGAGATAAAGAACATTGACACAAACCAACAAATTTGAAAAAATGACTCTGTAAATATGGATTAAAATGTTTTGCAGTTCATGGAATATAAGGCAGGATAAAAGCATGTAAAGCACATTATGACATTGCAGCTGTTTTCTCAATCATGTGCTTGGTTTACTGTCAGTCAAGATCACATGATGTGTTTCTCAGATGCTTGTCAAACCTGCCAAGAAAATGGTTCTGAGGAAATCTTGTTATATTTCAAACACTGAATATCTGACAAAAGTGCCACGTGTTGGGCTTAAACACCAAAACATCACTACAAGTATTTCCATGCAAAACCCATCATTGCTCAAACACTATTCGCTGCTGTTCAGTTTCATGTCCTGCACACCTGTGACCACGGTCCGACTCGCCATTGGGTGGGACAGGGTTGTCGGTTGCAGGGTCTGCGGGCCTCTGGCCGGTTATTGTTGCAGTGTTTATTGTGAATGGAGCGCGTGGTGTTGTCATCTGACGGCTGGACACAGCTGACCGAGCGAATTTGCATCCCCGTCTTTCCACATGGTTTGCTGCAGTTCTGCCACTCGCCTGTCACCCAGCTGGAGAACAGCACAGAGGAGAGAGAGAGAGACAAAAACCAAGAGGTGAACAATGTCAGAGGAGGAACAAAGACTGATTGAGCTTAAAGTCGTCTGTATCATAATGTAGTCAGATTTCCCATGTTACATCTTTACATGCCAAATGATATCATGCATACATGGGCGGAGGGCAGGGCTTCTGGTTGCAGTCTCGGGTGTCTCCTCTGGGCTTCATGTTGGACTTGTTACAGAAGCTCTTGTGGACCATCTTACTGTCAACCTTTCTTCTGCAGCCGTATCGCAGGTATTGTTTCCCTGCAGAAGGTGGAGGAGACGGAAAATTTAACAAATGTAAGCACAAAATACATGAACACAGGCACACTGAGTATGTTCCTCCTTCTGCTCTACCTCCATCACAGGGCTTGGAGCAGTAGGACCATCTCTTTGGCGCCCACTCGTAGGCACTGTCTTCTACCAGCATGTTGTTCAGAATGGCAGAGTCACTGTCCATGTTCATCATGTATTTATAAGATAAATTCACATCCTCATCCCCGTGTAACTTCATCTGTAAACAGAGAGGCCATCATAGGGTGTGTTAATCACTAATGACAACTATAGATAACGACAAACGTGTTTGTTTTAAACCAAATTCACCAAAATCGTCATTTATTTACCATAATAAGAATTCCATGTCTGAGAGGGCCAGTGGTCTGAAGCGTCTCCTTGTCGTTGTCGTTCTTATATTCCCACTCCACGCCCTTCTCTATGACCGAGTGGGATTCTGGGTATTCATTTTCTCCGTTCAAGAAGAACAGTCCCGATGCCACGTTCTTCACAGCTGTGGATGTGTAAGAAACACACAAAGATGTGTGGAGACGTGTGAGAAATGTAATTATACTTGTATAACACACAAATTCAAGGATCTAGACACACGCTCACACATTAAGGAAAAACAATGTATCAAATACCCAAAGTGTGTGAAGTTGCTTTAAGCTCTTGGATCAGGAGGTGTCTCGCTCCTCTGGGGATTTCAAGAACTTTGAGGAATCCTGAAATGAAACGCACATCTGGTTCGTGACTCCAACATCATCAAAAGCTCATTTTACAGTTTCCTGACAAAGAGCCTCGCTTAATCCACAAAGGAGCTCATACTCTTTTCAACCAAGAGAACTTGCTCACTAGTAAATCTGCGGTCGTGACTAATAAACATTCTGGGAATTTGCGTGCTATAATGTTAGTCTGTTCTGACGTCAGGAGTTAGATAATATGCTTATAGACATTAGCTCACAGGCTGAGATTTGATGCAACTTCTTGGCAATGCTCGACTCCCATAGAAACGTGTCAACACAGATCCTACTGAGGTTGGGACAGTGTTACAAATCATCCTGTAGAGGGCGATGTTAAACTAAACATATGTGAATACAGAGGAAAGTGGTCCAGCTTATCAACAACAAATACTGTCCGTCTGTGTTTATCCAGTGATTACCAGCATCATAGATAGTTGCATCCCTGACAGACCTCGTCCTACATTTGGATGAGATCTACTGGGATTGTTTGTGTGTGTTTACCTTGTTTCTTGGCCGTGCGTGTGATGGTGTCTTTGAAGGTTTTGCAGCTGGAGTTGTCACCGCCACACACTCCACACTTGTCTTCCTGCTTTGAGGAGCCGACCACACTGTCGCAGCCCACTTTCTGTTCACGAGGACACGGAAAGATTAACCCCCGTGCATCTGAACATGCACTGCTCCCTTGCTCTCACACACTAACAAAATGCCACTCACCTCGCACTCTCCACGCACACACACACTGTGCGGGTCCTTGTATGAGCACCGTGTGCCATCCAGGACCATTCTCTGCATGAAGACCACATCCCGAGTCTCCTTGGATTGGCAGTGCAGGTGGCAGCGTTTGTTAGCTGGGAAACAAACACAAACACCACATTACTCAGGCACATTCAGAGACTCCCCTTGAGTCAGCATGACGCTGCGCATCATTGTGTCTGTCTTCCTGAGTCATACTACAAGTACATGAGCCTCAAGAGACACAACCTCGCAGTTCATCCCGCTGAGAACCAACACTACTTCATCACACTCTTACAGACAGACATACTCCAGAGACCTTGTCTTAATATGCTCTGACACTAACATGCGGCAGATGCGCTACTGAAGAAATATCACATGTGGAAACTAGAACATGTGGAAACTAGAGTGCAAACATTGAAACATTTAAATGACTGGATCCGCCCCCTAATCTGGATCTGCACCAAAATTTTATGGACTCTTGCCCAAACCATACAGCATCCCTCCACCAAGCTTTGTGGTAATCAGGCCCTTAGTAGTTTTTGTGTAATCTTGCTTACAAACCAACAAACAAATGGACAGAGGTGAAAACATCATCAGGTTAAACTGCACAGAAACATTTCATACCTACTCAGTGTCTAAATGTACCCACTTCACAAGCAAAATAAACAATGACAATTGAAGACAACTGCATTTTTCTGTGCTGCTCCACAGCTTTTAACATTTCTACATGCAAACACATAGACAGCAATTCATTTTAAGAATGTCCTAGGTGTTAAATTAAAGGGTCAGAGTCATCGTGTGCTCATTGGGTGGAGTTCTTGGAGAGATCTGATCTCATCTAAGTAAAAACATTGAAAACCGCTGATGACTTTGGGATTTAGAACTAATACAGCAGTGCAAAGAGTTAGATCAATCCCTCTGACCAGTTGGTTGAAACAGCAACTCCAACATTTCTTTAGTTGAAGGGTATTTAACAGTATTTTTTTATAATTTGTTGGTTTCGCAATTAGACCAAAATTGAAACAAAACAAACCACCAACACTGTCAAACAGCTCTTAACAAATACTACAATTTCACACAGGCGCTCTTTTTCTCTCCTCACACTATCTTGAACTCAGGAGATGACAGACCATGAATGGAATTCAATTTCAACTCCCTGTTCACTTTTTTCCCCTCACACACACAAACACACACATGCTCGCGCACACACAAAAAAGTAATCTGAGACTGAGAGAGCCTTGCTGAAAAATATGGCATTTAGGAATGATAAGAACAGAGAAAAACAATTTAGCGAGGTGCCTCTTGTGTGTGCCAAGTGTGTGTAGCGTGACCTCTGATTAGATGTGGAGACAGCTCAGCACTTTTCTCTATGGCTGCCCTTTAGTTGGATGATAATTTAATACATATCAGGAAGATAGTGACGCCGCCACTTAGAGACACGGTAGGTTTGAGACTGACACACGCACGCACACACACTTCTCAATAACAGTGGACATTTTTGGGATATTAAGTGGAGAACTTCAGGATTGCAATCTGAGAGCAGCTACATGGATGGAGAAGAATGTGGAGTATGAGGGGTTAGTTAGGTTCAAATGACATCGGCAGATGGGTGGAGAAGGAGAAGACACCGCTTTCAAAAGAGGATTTTCAAAGACATGGTGTGTTTTTATGGGAGGGCGTAGACGTACCTCAAAGCTGCACTCAGACCCAGCCGGGCAGCCAGATGTCAATGCCCATAACAGAACACAACCTATATATAAAACCCTCTGAAACCAAAACACCTTGGCTTTCATTCACACAGCTACCACAGCGTATAGTCATGACCCCCCCCCCCCTTACATCTGTGGGTGTAAACTCACGGTCTGTGTGTTCATAAGGCAACCAGTGGTGCTTGTTGCTGTGGAGTTCAAAGCGAGGGTCCCAAGCGTGGCATTGCTCCTCCCGCGTGTCACTGTAGATATCCTGGCATTCTTCAGAGTTGCATATCTGAAACTGGTAAGTCGCCCCAACACAGATACGGCCCTCGTTGGCTGGTCTGAGAAAGCGATAGGACAAGTGGCGTGTGAACATATCCATTCATCGAAATGTGTTTCACCTCTACGAATCATTGACTCACTAATAATGATATAACTGAGGACACAATTTATCACGAGCTATGTTAATGAAGCAAAGTGCCTTTCTGCCATTACCAGGATCAAGTGAGTGCAGCACATAGCAAAGGTTGACTACTTAATTCATTGGTAAGTAAGTGGCTTTCTGTTTTTTCCCAACCTACCAACTTGGGTCTCAAGATTCAGGGAACTGAAATACACACATTACAGTGTGAATACCTGACCTGAGCCTGTCAGGATCTGACGGGCCTCACCTTTTACGGAGAGAAATTTTGAAAATGTTTTCGCCTCTGTCACATTGGCTGGGCGGATTTTTTGCACGTCTGTAATAACAATAACCATGTGTGTGAGAGACAGGGTAACACAAACCCAGTTTACATGAACCGCATCGGGCTTGGCTCAGGTTCGGACATGAAAACAGAACGCTTGAGGTTTGGGTAAGTCTTCTCTTGGGCTCAGGTGGGTTCAGGTGGAGCCACACTCTTAGACACAGTGCCAGCTTTCCCACTACTGCGCTTTCCGTGTCTGCACTTGCAATTGGCTAGCACATGTCACAATAATGTGTTTCAGAGTGCAGTGGTCCCGCGGTCATGTTCGATCTGAAAGGGCCTGATTCACAGTCTCGTACCTTGGATTGTCACAGTCACGTGTGCGAAACTGTACTCCTCCACCACAGGTGCGGGAGCACTGGCCAAACTCACTCCACGAACCCCAGTTTCCATCTTGCTTTATGATGTCAGGGGTCAACCAGATGCATTCACCTTTAAAGCAGTGCTGCAAAAGGCCAAGAACATAAGTCAGTTGTGGTTGCATGTTGCCATTACATGATTTTTTCTCAGACATAATGTATGTTGAAGTACAGCGGTGTATAATTACCTTCCCATTGCCACACATGGTGCCATCAATGGGTGGTCCTTTCTTGGTCTTGCAGAAGAAGGGATTGTCTGGGTGGCTGCACCACAGCTGCTTACATGGGTCAAATGGGCGATACTGCGGGGCACAAAGAGAGACTCCTCCTTACAATCAAAGGTCTTAACATGCAGCACACTCACTGGGTGACCTTCAGAACAATACAAATCAACCATCATGAGAGAGCTGGAATGAGACTAAACACTGAAAACAGGAAATAAAAGAGGGATGAGAAGAGAGATTTCACAACAACAATTACCACAACAGTAGTATACCCAACAACATGAACACCGACCCTGCACCGTGTCACTGCACTGTACACTACGCTCCACTGTGAAACACACAGCCATGCAAACCAAAGGATGAGAGAGAGAGAGAGAGAGAGAGAGAGACAAGACTCTCGAAATGATACAGCCGTGATTTAATTAGGTCAAGAGGGAGGTCAGAGGGCAGAGGGTCAAAAGGTCAAAAGGCCAAAAGGCCAAAAGGTGAGGTCTCTGTGACCTCTGAAATGCTCCCCGACACAGATCAAGGACCAAATTCTCCTCCTTGTCTGATATGAACCATTGACGAGGATGCCACCAAAGTAAGTCCAGTGTCTGAGAGGCTGTGCCCTCCTCCCTCCTTTTCACAGATTCGCCTACCGCCAGGTGACCTTTTCAGGTCAGGGGGCGAGTCACAATCAATGACTAGACTGTGGTAGGTAATCACCAATGACATCAGACTGGAGGATCCTAAAAGCTAAAGTTAAACATGGAAAAACAGCCTCTGTTCTGGCTCTTTCCTATTTTCTCCTTGGCTGGAAAAGACATCTTTCCAACCTTTTCCACTCTTTTAAAGTCACGATGGTGCCAATATAATGAGGCTTTTCCTGCCAGCGCTGCAGTGATCCAACACAGATTTGCAGGAAAAGAGTCGAGGTATATTACAGTTCAGCAGCTGAACCAGTGAACCAGTAGAGTCAGTGTGTTTTTTAGGGCCTTTAAAGCCTCTTTCTTTTGAAATGTGAGCATTTTAGAATCCTGCAGACTAACACCCAAAATATGACGATGGGTAGAACATAGAAACAAAGTACAGTAACAGAAATGTAAGGAGCAACGTTACAAACAATTACAACTTCAGAGGACAAATATAAAAAAAATAATAAAAAAAAGTCTGAGAAAACAAATGACGGGCCACATGTCTTCCGGGAGGTGGGGTTACCTTACCTTCGGTGCTGACTGGCCCGCCTTTTGTAGCTGAGGGGAATGGGTTTGACAAGAGAATAGAGGGTAATCTAGCAATGTGTGCAAAGCCCCGGAACAAGCCTTTGTAACTCAAGCAACAGCTTCCCAACAGTGTGCCACAGTGGCTTCACAGTCATAGATCGGCTGAGAGGTGACAGGGGGTGGAGGGTAAAGATGTCTGGCCAGATGCTGCAGCTGAGGCTCGTCTACTGTCTGACGTATTGTGTTTACAAAAATAGTTTGTGACGGGTTCATGTAAAGGCACTGTGGTATCAGGGTAAGTGCGGTGTAAAAATAAATATTACTTATCATATCTAACATTAATAAAAAAGAAAAAGCTATCAAAGCCAATTACCTGCTTTTAAGCAAGATGTCAGTCCCACCAGAGGCCCAGAGAGGAAAGCAGAAGACATCAGAAGAACGTGAATGGCTGTGTATGTTTGACTGATATTTCATTACAGTGTAGATCAGAGATAGACGTCAGTGCTGCGTTCAGTTACTATAAAAAATGTTAGAGCTCAAAATGTTTCTGCCCTAAAAAATTCAACTCAGAGTGACGCTCTCTTTAAAGAAACGTCCGCTGCCAACCTCAACTCTGAGTGGATAAAATGACGCTCATTCCTTCTGCAGTCCGTCATCATAACAGTGCAGTCAGAGCAACATCATATAACCTAGCTATGTTAGTGATGGGGATCTCTTACCGCGGTGCACATCGTGTAGCCCACACCAAAGTCAAAGCGACACTGTTCGTTCATGGAGTAGTGCAAACCAGGGAGCTGCGGCAGTGACGGCCAGTTGTGGTCAAAGGGGTCGTCACGGAGACAGTCATAGGACCTAAGAGCAGTCGAAAAATAAACACACAGGATGAGATTTTATTTTCTGAATATCCCATTGAGTGTGTGTCTATGTTTGAAATGTGTTTGAGTCTCACTGCAGGTAGCGTCCCAGCTCTTGCATGCTACATCTGGACCAGTGGAAGCGGTGGAAGGCAGCTTGCACCAGTGGAGCCATGATGCTGCCCATGTGCACCTCATCTCCACAGCGGTTCCCCTGGCCGTCGTGCTCCATCCCCAACCTGAGAGGGAGAGAGGGTGAGAGAGAGAGAGAGAGAGACAAAATGAGACATACCGGCGGAGACAGATAGGAATGTGTGGGAGGAGAAGTACAACCAGGGAACAAAGGAGGGAGGCGGTGGCCAATGAAGCAAAACTGTAATAAATCAATACCGTCCTTTAACTAACTGCTTTGTTGTCTGTTGCTGTGCCATGTAAGAAAGCTTGAGGACATGATTACGGCAGTGCACTTACACGTGTCCGGTCTCGTGTGCCACCACGAAGGCAGAGGAGAATCCATCCTCGTGGTTCAAAGTGCAGCTCCTCACAGGGTGACACATGCCTGTCACTGGGGCATAACCTTGGCAACCAGGAGGAGAGACATGGTCTTTAAAAAACTTTCTTATTATATCGTACTAAAACCTTCAGGGAGCGAAGAACCTTTGAAATGTTCGATGTTAAACTAAATATGATAGAAACAGACTCATTAGTGCATCTGTCAGTGAAAAGACCCCAATGATCAGTGAGATGAAACCAATGAGGGTAAACCCAACATTAATATGAAACATATTTCATTTTATAAATATTTTTCCCTGTATTAGTTGGGCCTGGATCCTAACCCTAAACCATTGCCTTACGCTCCCACACATGCCAATCTCCACCTCCCTGTGTGCTTGTCCGTCCCGTACTGCCTTTAATTGTGGAGCTGTGGCTGGTCCTGCTCTGTCTATTGATTTTCTGCTGCTGAAGGCTGAGCCCAAGGGCAGCTGAAGGGCTTCTGGATAGCTAGGCCACTGCCCTTAGAGGCCTCTCCCCTGGGCCTGCCTGTTAGTCTGCACTCTGCAGCACAGAAAACCACCAACAACCCAACCCATGGTGTGCTAGGACGCTGCATAAGGCAAAGGAAAGAACAGGGGAGCTCTATGTGTGTAGCCTACGAGTTTTAAGTCCTGACACGCAACTTATATATATGCACTATGTTAAAAAGAAGGGGTTATGAATTTATTGTATGCATGTCCTGTATTACCCTGCATTCCCGTGGGGCCAAATTCCTGTCGTGTGAGGAAGATAGCGTGGTCGTGATACTCGGTGTCCCCTGTGTCCTGCTTCTGCTGCAGGAAGGCCCAGCGACACACGTTTTCCAGACTCTGAGATGGGTTCCCCAGTTCGATCAGACTCATGGACTAGAGAAAAGACAAAGACACACAAAAAGGCAAAGAGAAGAGTATGTTGATATTGTAGGAAAAAAGGGAACTCCAACTGCTTCTTGTTTCAGTTCTGGTACAACAACATTTTATTCAACCCTGTAGAGGGCAGTGTCACAATGTTATATATTGTCAGCATATCTTCCGAATTGCTGAGGTGGACAACACACACTCATTCCCCATCTCTCACACACACATACACACACATACACACAAACACACACACACACACACACACACACACACACACTTGACTTAGGATCCTGTAATCCTGATGATTTCAATGATGAACATGAAACTGAACACAGAGCTGCTTAGAAAATTAATGAGCGATGCACTAATAGTCCAAAAAACTTGTCCAATTACAGAATATTTACTCATGATCAAATGCATGACACTGACACCCACACAAAGACCCAGATGCCGGCAATTCTCTCAGTTCATCTTCACCTCCCATGCACTTCCTCATTAGGATCTCCCCTCTCCTCCCCTAGCCTCTCGTCCCCTCATTCTGCGGTACAAGTCTTTCCATCTCTTTCTTCCACTGCTTCCTCTCCGCCTCACTTTGTACATTTCTTCGCTGTTTGCACACATGCACAAAGTGTGTGTTGCGTGAGCATGCGGCAACAAACACTAGTCAGACTGCACTGGGCATGTTTGTGTGCTTTCTCATGTTCATCAGGTGCTTGAGTGTGTTTCAATGTATTTCTATGATCTTTCAAAAATGTTTTTGTGGTGGTGTGTATCCCGAGTACACATTATGTTGGTGTGTGTGAAGCGTGGGTGCGCCTGCATTCAGGGTCATATAGCCAATCTGCAGGCTGTCTGGGTGCAGCTCTGTTGCCACGGTAATTGGGGATGATAGACAGCCAGAGCTTTGGCTGAAGCTGCATAGGGGCTGGCCCAGAATGACCAATGTAGGAGTGTGCGTGTGTGTGTGTCAGTGTGTGTTCCCTGGCTCCACTGGGACTGTAGTCATGCAGAGAGGAGAGGAAGAGATAAGGCTACAGCATCATATCACAAAGCACCTATCCAGCAATAAAATCATTTGCATCATCCTGTGGGGGTAACCCCTGGCCCTCCTCCACTCCTGCCATCTCTTGCTGCTTTATCTGTTTTTCCTTCTCTCCTATTCTCTCTTCCTCTCCTCAGCACACACGGGCAGATAGAGTTACAGTCGAGAAGAAAACGATGCTACCCCCATCGTCCGGTCTATCTGTTTATGAATGAGGGAGGGCTATCATTGATTGTTTATCTTTGCCTGGACTTCCCATGATTCTGTGCTGCAGCCCACTGGGAGGAGGGCTGATTGCATAACGGGCAGAGTTTCTGTGTGCTTTGGTGCTGAACTGTGAAGGCGTGCGACTTGAAAACACTCCCTTGGGACGCTGCATGCTTTTAGTTCCTCTTTTGCTCAGTCCACTGGAATAACAGGCTCCGGGCATCAGTGCGTGCTGATGAGTGTGTGTGTGTCAGTGTGTTTGTTTGTAAGTGTGTGTACAACTTGGCTGTGCTTACTGTAGGTTCTTAAAGCAATTGTAGCAAAACCATTGTATCAAAGAGGGTGTGAATAGAGAGAGAACAAATGCACTTTCTAGGAACTGTAGGGCTCTCGACTTTAATGCAGAACTTGTGTGTTGTAAGGTCTTACCTTGCCATAGCCCAGCATGATAATCCTCACCAGCACCACATTGATCTTTGCTCCCAAAGAGTCGTCATGGTAGATCTCATTCACCTGAAATCACATAGAAAGAAACACAGATATCAGCAAAAGCTAACAGATATAAGCCATTACTAAGATACATTTTTTTTGGCTAGAAAACAAATATCACCTTCATACACTGTTAAATATGAAGCTATAGTAACTGGTTAGCTTGGCTTTGCAACGCTGACTCAAAACATGAGGAAAAAAAGCAGCCTGGCTCTGTCAAAAGATTATAATCAAAAGAAAATCAACCCATAAACTTCCACAATTAACAAACAATATTTATTTTTTTGTAGAATTTATGCAGAAATTGTATTGTATCCATTTCAGGTTTTTCAGGGACTTATGTGGAAGTCTTTTTATCCAGAGGCATAGGAGTTTCTGCTGTCGTATTGAATGTGATATGAGAATCAATCTTTCAATGAAACTCTATCCTTTAAGGAAAAAAGAGGGTAGAGATGCTTTGCAGATCTTTTCCTTACAATTGGTAGATTAGAGTGATTTCCCAATTCATTAAGATGGGGAGGTCAGGAGAGTGCAAGAAACTCAGTTTCCCATGAGCGCAGATTGAGAGGAGATGAAGGAAAGAAGATGCAAGAGAAGGAAACAGCCTAATGCAAGGAAATGAGGTAATGTGTGACAGGGGAGATGCAAAGAGCACTGCACTGGTGAGAAAACATGCAAACACAAAGTGAGGGAAGGACAGAAAGAGAGGGAGACAGAGAAACAGAGGTGTGTGTATGTATATACATACACACACCTCCTTTAAGAAAGGTAAATTGGCACAGGAGTTGAGGCCTGCTGTCCTCAGTGACTATGTGCGGTGCCTAATGAGGCAAAGGGATGTAAAAACAGACAGCCATAATGAGATGGCTGATGGACACGCTACTGAGAAGGAGACACATATGTATACACACACACAGACCCCCACACACACACACACACGCCCACCCCCCCCCACACACACACACACAGGCACAGAGATGAGGAACAAAACTGCAGACACATCCAATGAGAGAAAGGTACGAGCGAGAGTTGAGGAATGCTAGAGACAGAGATGGCAGAGGTGAAGAGACAAGAAGCAGAGAGGAGAGCAGGAGGCAAAGTGAGAAAGGAGCTCAGAAGGCAGTGGAAAGGATTCTTAGGAAACAAATGCAGAATGGAGCTGCAGAGACGGGGTTTGGAGTAACTTCTCTTTTAACTAAACTCTTTTCCATGTGTGGTGTAAAGTTCCACTGTGCTATAGGAACAATTGAGTGATGCTTCGAAGCTGAACACTAATTTATTAACTGCAAAGTGTCTGGAATGAACGTATTTGATTAAAATTGCTGCGGCCTTACATCTTGTTTAGAAATGTTTGATTTTCACTAATGCATGGCCTTTGTGTTATTAGGAACAGCTCCCTTGTAAATGATCGGATACACTAATTACATTAGCAGTTTCAGTGAAAGTGATATTTTATGCAAGGACAGACACATCTTGTGGGCAACCAAGCTTTTCCAGACTGGAACATGACAAATAATAAATTAACATTGTTAAATAGGACAGAGTAATGCTTAAGATCATGGTCAATAGCCATTGTAAGTCAACACAACTGCATTCAAAGAGTTGTGGTATCAAACCCAAGTAAAGTAAGATAAACTGCAAGAGGCAAACATTTGATGTGGCAGAAGATGAGGTCAAACTCCAAATGCACTCGATCTTGTTGGTTTGAATGTATCTGTTAACCTTGTCAGCCACACTTTCTGTGAAACATCTGTAGTCTTGAAGCAAAAACTGAGATTTACTGTGTGAAGCTTCAATTGAAGTATATCATCAGTCGTTGCACATTAAAAAGCAGAGCAGGATATAATTAACTGTTTGATTTCTATAGATCCGTTTCACAACTGAAATGTCCTGATGCACAATTTAATTTTAATTCTTCAGGAACTTTTTGTACATTATATAAAGTATATTGGCCTGCGGTGGCATGGTGGTAAAGTGGTTTGTACTGTCGCCTCCTTGCAAGAAGGCTCCCAGTTTGGATCTTAGAATGTTCATGTATGGAGTTTGCTGGTTAAAATCCCTGTGTAGCGTTTCTCCCACACTCCAAAGACGTGCAGACTGGAGTTAATTGGTTAATTGGAGATTGTCCTTATAGGTGGGAATGTGTATGTGTGTTTGACTGTGATATGTATATGTGACCTGTCCAGGATGTACCCTGTCTCCTGCCTAATATCACCCTGCAACCCAGGATAAGTCTTGTAATGGATATTATGGATATTGAACTGGCTAATTTAATAATTGATAATCAGCTTCAGCTTCTGAAGTGACAGGTGGAGGAGCAGATTCAGAGTAAGGACACAGGATAAGTTGGGGAAAAGTTGTTTTTTCTCCCAGTGACCTTCAGTTCATGTTTTGGATGCTCCTTTTACTCATTAAAAAGACAGAGTTGCTAGGTAACCATCAAACAAAGAGAGGTTTCTGTTGTTTTTGCAGTTTAACCCTGTCTGAGTATAAGAGAGAGGGAGCAAGGGGGAATCAGTGTGTCTTTATCTCAGCTGTCTCTGCCTGCCTTCCTTCCTGTCTCTCTGTCTGTCTACTGGTATTTCTGTCTCTCATTTGTCTCACTCCCTCGTTATCTTGGCAGGATGAAATATATGAGAACAAGTGACACACAATCACTCAGTGTGTGTGTGTGTGTGTGTGTGTGTGTGTGTGTGTGTGTGTGACCACGTTTGCTTGTCTGAGACGACATGGACACTTGGGTGGGTCAGTGCACACTTGGCCTGATCCAGCCCGTTTCCTTGACAACTGGCCAATTAGGAGCAGTTGACTTCCAGGTGACCCTGACACAACAAGTTACACTCTAATGAGACATGCACGCACACGCACACACACAACCACACACACACACACAGTGTAGAGTCCTGTCTGTCCCAGCTTTAGCTTCACTGTAACACGTCACTCACAGATTTACACTGGAAGAATTCATAATCCCTCACACACCCACATACTCAGTGAATATGTTCAGCAGTGCAAACACACATTAAAGGGAGGCATGTTATGTTATTTTCTGTTTTTTTTAAGTTTGAAGATGTGTTCACCAGTTTAACCCTCAAACTCCAAAAGTGTTTTGTGGACTTAAGCACTTTACCCCATTTTTCAGTGAACTATCCCTTTAACACCCAACACTCAGTTCCTGCATCTGTCTCTCAGTGCTGCTGTCATTAAAGAGGCTGGCTGTCCTGTGAGGCTCTCTGAAGGGTGACGCCTGTTGTCAGGTTACATGTATCCCAGGTAGCCTAGATTTTTCAGCTGTGCGAGTCTCTATGTGTATTAAGTGATGCAGGCCTAGAGTTCAGCGATGCACAAAACCATTACTTTGAGATAAATTATGCAAACAGGGAGTCCAAGGTAAGGTAGGAGAAAACTGGCAAAGTCTTGAAACATAGACTTTAAAGATGGATGCGTCTCCACTTCTTCCAACAACCCAGAAATGACGCCAAAATATCCCAGATATGAACACTGTCAGCTAATTTGGAGCCAGAGGGATGAGCCACAGTATCGAGGTCCCACCAAAACACACGCTCGAAAAATTGATGAGTCAGTTTCAGCTGTCAATCATGATGGTTCACCCTGCTTTTTTTAAGTGAAACTGAACCAACTGAAAACATGAACATTTGAACAAACATCAGTGATAAGAACTAAAATGTATTTGACAAGTAGTTTAACTTTTAGTTTGGTCCATGTCCCATCGACTCACATGGAGGGGTAAGGGTTTATGACTGTCAGTACAGCTAGCAGGTGGCTATTGAGATGCTTTGGCTTCACGTTTGGGGACTAATCATGTTGTCCATCTTTATACAGTCTGTCATTTGAATGTGCAGTGACACTTTAGTTAGTTTATGTGCATGATAATAGGAAAACATAGACCTGCTTTACTCCTGTTTAAAATCTAAATTAAAGTAAATAAACCTTTTTGCAGGATCTGAAAAGATTAATATTTCAGTTGTGCCGTTGTTGCTCTGTACATTTATTTTGAAACGTCAGTGTGGGGTTACAGACTGAATTAAAACCTGAAGCATGAGAAGGAAGAGCATAGAGATGTGGAACAAACAAAGAAAAAGAGGTCAAATCTTCTAAAAGACCGAATTAAGAAGAGATAACTGAGACTGAAACCCAGGAACAAGAGTAAATCTGTCACAGCGCAGCTAAAACCTGTTTCATTAGCTGCTGACACCTCATCCATAGATTCACACCTACATACAATGACACCTTATATATTTAGGCAGCACACGTGGAAATACTTTATCTACATCTGCCAGAATTTATCTGTTTCCTTGCCCTTACTAACGCAAACATTTGTAATAAGCTCATGAAGGCTTAAAATACATTCATGTAATAACATGAATATTTTCACAGCGCTTCGACACTGAGCTCATGTGTTTTAATCAACCCATCATGGAGAGTGGGCTTCATTTAATAAGCAATTGAAATTTGACTGGAAATGTTTTTTGAAATATGTATTACAAACACCCTCAGCTGGTGATGAGACAGAACTGAGTCATCTAATAACATTTTGGCTGGAAAAAGACATAAATCAGACAAGTTTGAACATCTTCTAATCTCCACATCTTTCTGTCAACACACACATATTTTAAAAACTCTCAGCCCGACAGTGCTGCTGATCTGTTACACCTCTAACTAGCACCTCTAACTAGCATGGCATCCATTGTTACCTGGACTACGTATGTTTCCTTACGCTTATTAACATGACTTTTCTCTTCCTCCAGGGCTCTTACAGGAAAGATGCTTTTCACATATTGGAGGTGCAGATAAAATACACCTCAGTCAACCAACATACATCATTAAAATTAAACACGCACACTCACACCTCTCCCTCGTCACCAGTGACTTTTCATATCCATGGAGAGTTTGATTAACACGATGCAGCACCTCACTAAAGGTCTCCATTAATGGGGGGGGGGGGGCAGACAGGTAGACAGACAGATCATTGTTGGTTACTAAATCCATCACCACGATAGTCGCAACAGGAAGATTACTGCTTGATGCTTTCCACTTGGCATTTGGACCATACTACATTAACAACATTGTTGCTACCAAACTTTTTAAAATCCAGTTGATTTATGTGCATGTTTGTTAAAAACATTAATGGGCTTGTGAATACAGTCTGTTTTCTTTGACATTGTTTCTGTTTATGTGTTTATTTCTGCTAACCCCTGTAACTATGAACACTAGCATCCATTAAAAGTTTCCACAGAGTCACACAGTCCAACTTATCTATGGTCCTGCAATCGAACAAGAAGACAACACAAGGAGGGGAGGTAAACACATGGGAAAGGAGTGGGAAGACACCTACCGATGCACACACACACACACACACACACACACACACACACACACACACACACAGAGACACTCCTGTTGAACTTCACACTTTGCAGACAGGATTTAGTCAGTTTCTGTGGGAGTGCTTTGATGTCCTGTAGACATCAGAACTGCCTGTTATCTTAATATACACGCACACACATGCACGTAGTCACGCACGCACACACTCTAGATTAGAAGAAGAAAGAAAAAAATGCATATATTGTATATTTTCTTCATAACCATCTGCACTGAAACAAAGTGCTTTATTTATGCCTTGTAGGTGTCTGTGTGACAGAGTAATAGCTCCTGTAATAAAAGACAGTCACTTCACACACATTGTTTTTTCCAGGTGTTAAAAGTGCTAATATGCATTCGGACAGATGTATAGAGTGAAGAGAGAAGAACAGATGGAAGCAGGAGAAATTATATCATAAACTTGTTGGTCCACAGTGTTGACAAACTGCCCTTATTTTCTTTGGTTTGTGGTAGGGTTGCAAAAACCACATAATCATATAAACGTCAATACACTTAAAATTTGATTAGTGAAACACTTCCTGATAAAAGTCATAATGTCTAAAGCATAGTATTTGTCTTTCTGTTATTACTCCAAAATCACAACTCTGTGTCAATGCCTTTAGAGGGCAGGTGTGGAAAATAAGTCTTATAAATCCTTGTCCTTATCCTAAGTTTACATTACACGTCTTCACATGAATCCGTTGTCACTCATATTATACTGAAAACATTTTCTTTTTCTTTTTAAAATCATCATTGAGATTTTGTTACCATAAACTACCCCAGTCAGGGTGGAGCAAGAATGCAAAAGAGCTCAGTGTAGAGCAAGTGCTGCCGAGTGACTGGGAGAGCGAGAGAAAGACAGAGAGGGGATGAAATAAAACAGAGACGAAGAGAGAGAGAGAGAGCGAGAGTGTAAGAGAAAGAGAGCACCCATCCTGAAGTGAGCAAAGCAAACTTTCAAGAAGAAAGTCGCCCAGATGCCACGCGTGGGAGGCAACCCTTATTTATTCATTTCTGTTTATCTGGCTGTCAGTAATTTATTCAGAATACACTGTTTAAAATACTCCTTCTCCCTCTGTCTCTCCATCTCTTCCCCAGAGATTAGAGGGGGCCTGCGACAGGGCTGCATATTCCCCTCTCCCATATTGTCTATTAAATATCTGAAAGGAAGGCAGAGAGCATAGTGTCTCTTGTTCTTTGTCGAGCGCTGAACAGAGACAAAGAGGTGTGGCAGGATTTGTTGCTCAACGCATGCACCTGCTTAACTGTGGGAGATTGGTTCCTAGCACAGTGCAAAAGCAAACAGGTGAGTGCATGGAAACAGATGTGCACACACACATGCACGCAAGTTCATGCAAACAGTTCTCTCACCACAGGTTTAATTTGCAAAGATTAAAGTTTGTAATGTGCAAATGTCACACCAACACACAAACACGTGTCTGCACACACACACTTAAAAACACCTGGGAGTGTGACTGCTTGGCAAAGTGTTGTTGTGGCCTGGAGCATACTACCTGCTGTTTTTGCATCTCACACACACACGCATATACACACACACACACACACTTGCACACACACAATGAATGAATGATGACACGACACAAAGCTTGATGAAACGATATTTGGGAGCCCCTTCAGAGCACAGGGCTCATCTAACACACACACTCTCACACACACACACACACACACACACACACACACACACACAAATGAAATCTCATCATATTCAGATAGAGAAGAAAGGATTACCTGCGGCTGATTGCTGGATGAGAACATGTAGGAAGGGAATTGAATCCTCATTCAGATGACGTGTGTGTGTATATGTGTGTGTGTGTGTGTGTGTGTGTGTGTGTGTGTTTGTGTGAGAGAGAGATTCAGCCCTTCCTTTGACCTCTCTGTGACTCATTTCCCATTAAGCTCCAATGGAACTCTTTCCCCATTTAATAATTACATTTTTTGAAAGAAAGACAACAAATGTCACTTCTGGGCATTAGGGAACCTATGTATTAGAAATGCACATTATGATATTCCTCAAATGTTGGCAGTTAACCTAAGTGTCCAGTTCAATCAAACATTCTTTTATTTGACGTGTGTGTGCAGGCACACTTACGATGTTCATGAGTGTGAGCAGGTACTTTTGGACGTCCTCCTTCCCGTGAAACTGGACCACTGAGTCATCAACGCCCAGCAGCACCTCAATGTTGTAGGCCCTGTCCAGTGTCTGTCTGCGCATTCGCCCTGCTCTCGTGTGGTTGATACTCTGCTCCACACCGCGGTACAGAGACTCCAGGTCCATCAGACCACCGAGGTCAGCACCTAGATTTGGAAAAACAAAAGGTTTTTCAATTAACACATGCAAACGAGTAAAGGAGAATTTGCATACAAACATCAAGGAGAAAGGGAGGAAAAGTAGAATGAGAATTTTTTCCAGATTCATATAAGGTCACCGACATTTGACCACTCAAGTCTTATCAGGTAATGTTTGACTCCAAGTGATAATGGGCGAAAATGTGAAGGAATTCCCTAAATGATCATCTTCAACGGCCAAAAACATGTTTTGTGAGGCCATTGTGACCTTGACCTTTAACCTCCAAAATCAAATCAGTTCTTCTTCGAGTCCAAGTGATGTTTGTACCAAATTTGAAGGATTTCCCTCAAGGTTCACTTGAGATGTTGAGTTCACAAGAATAAGATGTTTTTACAGACAGACCACCTGACAACATGATGCCTCCAAAAGGAAAGTTCCATTTGTTTATGTTTGCATGCTCAGCTGCTGTGTGTCCAACACCATTGTCATGCATTTTTCCCATATGCACGTGTACTCATCTGAGCACTCGTACATTGAGGTCTGTGCGTCTGTCTTCTGTTTACTTTCAATGACACCAGTTGACAGAATCGAGCATGTGTGTCCCTCGTAACTGGTGGCAACGGTGCGGCTATCCTTCGCAGATCCTCTCCTAATCAACCAAATATTTCTGCTCCCATCTGAATAAAAGCAGCAGATGGTGCTTGCTAAACACATGGATTAAGACGGCTCCCTCACACAGGGGCTGCCCACCCTGCTCTTTTCTTGGCTTACTACATGCTGGAAAAAATGCAAATTACACGAGAAACTCAATTCGAGGTTATTCCATTGGAAAGTGTGCAACCTACAGCACCCCTGATTTGTTCAGATCACTAATTACATCCATGGTTCTGCCTACACAGGTATGTCAGAGTGTGTGTGTAATGTTGTTCGGACATTTTTGGACAACGCGCTCCTAAATGACGATGATTTAAGCGCCCAGTCTTATCTTGTTTCTTTTTAAATCTTTAAAACCCGGCAAAGACTTGCAGGCAGCCGGGATACAGAAGATAAATTGTCCCGTATTGAGAGCCAAGGCCATCCTTCCCTCATCATCCCTCTTCCTTCCTCTCTCATCCTTCTGGTATGTAGACACAGCATGGCCTCGCTTGTATGGAAGCCATGGAAGGCCAAGTCATGCAGTCTTGAACATGTGGTCTCTGTGGAATCAACAAAGCATAATACTTCCCGACTCCAGCCAAGGCCTCCTGCAGCTGAGGATGATACACAACTCAGCTCATGGAGTGTGTGCGTGTACGAGTGAGTGCACGCAGGTGCTCGTGTGGACAAACATTTCCAACTGGGCCATAAGTCACCGGTCCAGCAGAAGCTTTAATTTAGCTGAGCCTCGGATTCTGGGCCGACTAACTGTAATGGATGTTTTTGACTGCAAAGCTAAGATGCTGAGTCGATTCAACACGTGGCATGAGGGGAGCGTCGGAGCTCCAGTGTTTTGACACATACAGTTAGAGCAAGTGTTGAGTGGAGGGGAAAGAAACAAGATGCAAGAGGAAGATACAGGGAAGATAAGGGGAGGGAGGGAGGGAGGGAGAGAGAGATATCTGCCACCTTGTCTCCCAATCAGCAAGGGGCATCCCGCGTTCCCACTCCCTCTTATGCAACGTTTCCTAGGCAACGGGCTCATGGGTAAAACAAGGACCGCATGGCTAATATTGGCTCCTGAGTCGCTAGTGGATTGAATCTGGAAGTCTGAATATCTGCCCACATTCCAGTGAGTGACAGAATACCCACACAGAACGAGGGAGAAACAGGAGGTGGGGGGCAAAGATAGAGACGAATATAGCGAAAGACAAGAGACCCTGAGAGGAGAATCTAAAGATTATTGCAGCACATACTTTTTGTTCTGTGGCAAAGCTTGTCCCTGTCACACACACACAGACACACACACACTGTCTTGGCCATCTTGTTAGCAGAGGAAGCTGGATATGAGGCAGTGTACTTCACAACAACCCTTGGCTCTTCCTAGTTATGGCTGCATTTAACGAGCCTGATGTCATAACCACACCATCTGTTTTTAAAGACAGGTCCAGATATTTTTACCTTTTGCTTATGTAATGTTGAGACAAAACAGAAAAAAACAGTATTGTGTTGTGCGCTCTCGCAGTGTTTGAAAACTGTGGACAACTGTGGACACGACATAGCACGGGGCTTTAGCTGTATGCTAAGTAGAGAAACATGGCAGAGATAACTCAAAGTGACAGAAGCCCTGTAGAAAAACAAGACGTAACCGAACCGAAGGTTGAAAGGTGCTTGACCAGTTGGCAAGCTGTGACTGTTTAATCGTCTCCATTTCATCATCGCACCTCTGTCCTTGCTTATATTTGCTAAAACACTACTTTCATCTTGCTTCAGCCATTTTGGAGCAACTTTTTCTCTTTCCCAGAGAAAAACTTGGAGGAATAAGAGAGACGGAGGGAGGCAGTGAGGGAGGTGAGAGGTAGAGCTGAAGGGTGTGATGGATGAGAGAGAAAGATGAGAGGAGACCAGAAGGACCTTGGGTGTTGTGAGTTCCGCTTCAAGCTCCTGCGGTGATGGAGAATATCGCTCCGTTGTAGAGCATCAGAGTCTGTGTGTGTGTGTGTGTGTGACTGCAGAGGGTAAAGCATCAGGGTGTGTTGTCGAGCAATAGCTTCCATTAGCCTTTGTAACTAAAACTGGTATCGCTCTCAACCTACAGAAAGAGGATTGATCATAACAATGTTCACTTTTTCTTTCTCCATGGAGGATCATTTACAGTCTCAAATCTCATCCTCCCACAGCTCTTACCTGCACACGCATGCATGCACACTCACACACACACACACAAACTCACACACACACACAGCTATTCATGTCTCTTCCTACCTGCCGCTTTCCTTTTTCTTTTCAGGTCCTACCCACTTGTTCTCCATCCTCATTTATATTTTCACACTCCTATCCATATACATACCTCTGCACTGCCACCACCACACACAAAACCCCACCCTATGCAGACCTCCTCACACACCTACCCTCCCGCACTATGCTCATTCAGGTGCGGTAGAGACCGTGGCCTTATTAGGAGACAAAGGTTCTTTGTCTTTCAACCTTTGCTAAATGTCAAGAATGTCTGGTTGCCTGCTGAATATGTGTGTGTGTGTGTGTGTGTGTGTTTGGGGTGGGGATTGTTTAACTCATTCTTAAATATGTTTTGTCATTAGTAAGGCACTTTGAATATAAATACACTTTGCCAGACAGACACACACACACACACACACACACACAGTGATAATATATTGTTTTTACAAGCCTGGTTGGCTGCTCTTTTACGACGGCACCCAATCAACTTATAAAAGAAACAAAATACGCAGTAAACAAGCTCTTAAAGACGACAAAGGCAGTTAGAGGATGATTACTGCGGTTGGTCTGGACTGATTAGTTTTAAAGTGCCAATACATTCCAACAGAGCATCTTGAGCAACTTCTGTAACTCTCTAAAACCGACAATCCAACAATTTCACCCACTTCCTACTGTGACAGGTCACAGCAGTAAAAAAGGGGTCCACGGTATGAATTTTTATTTTTGCACACTCTTTTTCATTTGTCACTATTTCTGAGACATTATGGGAACTACTTTCTGGAGAAACAAGTGTGCAATATTATTCACAACAATCATCAAGAATCACTGTCTGTGACCCTGAGGCATTTCCTCGCTTTTGCCTACCTACATTGTCTTGATGATGTACACGTGTTTAAAGGCTCAGTGTGTGGAATTTAGTGACATCTAGAGGTGAAGTGTCATGTTGCAGCTGAATATACCTCATCTCACCCTCCACTTCCAAACATGAAAGAGAACCTGTGGTGAACTTCAGTTGTCATGAAAACTCAAAAGGTTTTAGTTTGTCCAGTTTAGACGACAGTAAAAAACATGACGGCCTCCACAGAGAGGACCCCCGTCCATGTAAATATAACGTTTTTAGTTATAAACGGCCCATTTTAGAGTGAAGAAAACAACAATTCATACAATTAAGGATGGACATGCATGGCGGTTTAGTATTAAAACTCACAGAAAGTACGCACCATGAGTGAAAGCCATCCTTGTGAGAAGAGCATTTCTGTTGTGCACAAATGTGGTTCCCCGATGAGAGTCTGCAGCTTCACTT